ATATATAGTTACTGACCAGTTCTCAGTTTAAAACGGGATCCTTCATTTCCTCTGGACTTGCTAGGGGTACCTACAGATGAATGCTTAGCCATTCTCAAGGAAAGGAAACATCTATGATCTGAAAAAGGAAAAAAAAAGAGAGAATACAGTAGTTGGGCCCCCAATTTAAATTTATTTTCCTCCTCCCCCATTTTAATTAATGTTGTTTTTTTTTATTGCAGTTCACAGAATAATTTCATCCATTCAATAATTTAGTGTCTTTTAAAATTATTGCACAATAAAAAGGAAAGAGATTTCTATCCATCTCCTCTCTGCTTCTCTTATATTCCCTGGCATGACTGGAGGGGAGGCTTCCTGGCTGTTGGGGAACGAGGGAGTGAATAGGGTTCACAACTGCTGTTTGTGGCCCCTCATCTCCAGTTTCCATCCATTTCTTTCCTCCACTTGGAGAGGAAGGAGTCCTTGTAGTCAAAATGCTAGAATGGGATCTAGGGGACCTCTGGTGTGACCTTGGTCAAGCAGCTTCATCTCCCTCTGACAGCTTCAAGTGGGAGCTTCTCCTGCTTTTTGTCTGCCTGGTCTGTTTAGGCTGGCATCTCGCTGGGGCAGAGACTGCTTCTTTGGCTGGGGCCTTCAGATGGTTGTTATAGCCCACCATGGCTCAGAAAGTGTCTGGAAACAGAGGGCTGATGCAGGAGGCAAGGGAGTGGTCCTGGACCACAATGGCCACCCCCCCCCCGCCCTTCTCAGGTCACTGCTCCAGCCCCTCCAAAGTGCTGACACCTCTGTCCCCCTCTCCCCCTACCCTCCTCTCTCCCTTGCAGCCTCATCCTTTGTGCCTCCAAACCGGCCCTGCCCTTCCCTTTCCCTCAGCCTCTTCCCCGCACGCTTCAGCATCCTTCTTTCTTCTTCCCCTTGTGAACTGCCTGCAGGGCCCTGGCGAATGCCCAGAATGACCATCCTCGGGCCAGAAGAGACCTCCGGGCGCTACTCCAACCTGCTTTGGAGACGCAGGTTTGCCTTGATGAAGGAGATTCCCCAGCCTCCCTGGGCTCCTTGGCCCATGGTCCTGCTGCTCCGTTCTCCTGAGATTCAAGCCGAATCTGCTCCGGAGCCGTTAACTTGGGCCCTGCTTTCTGCAGCAGGAGAGAACAGTTTT